CACCTGCAATGCAGGAGACATGAGAGGCATGGGTTCAATCCCTGGGTTGGGAAGATCTCCTGGAGAAGGAAAGGCAACCCACTACAGTATTCTTGCCTGGAGAATTCCGTGGACTGAAGAGTCTGGTGGGCTATAGTCCATAGGGTCACAAAAGAATCAGACATGCCGAGCATCCACACACGTAGGATCTGAAAGTGTCAAAGTGAACAGAACTAGTATCTGCCTTCTTAGGTGTGGTCAGGAACTAATTGATTAATGTTTACAAAATGTCAGAACATTCCTAAATAAAAGGCCCTATATAAGTTCAAAGTCTTTATAATTATTTTGATGATTACTATAATTTGTAAGACTTAGCCATAACTCTCTTCCCAAGAGAATGATGAAGTCAACACTTTTTGGAAGAGGAAGCAGGCCAGGGACTCTATATAAGCAGACATGGGCTGATGGGTTCTAGGTACAAGAGCTTGCTGAAGACAGGTGAGTGGTGGAACCCTGCTCAGGCCTATTTTGTATGAAAAATTGATAAACTGATAATGATTGTGAGTCTGCTGCTAAGTAAATAAGAAAAGTTGGAGTCAGAGAAAACTCAAGAAGCTTGCAAGGAAAACCCAAGTTGTAAAAGATTATATAGATGATAGAATGATTTTTTAAAATAATACTTAGATATATTTAGACTTCTTTTAATTAAAAATGTATTAACAGTTTTGGATTTGTTGTTGTTTAGTCACTAAGTTCTGTCCAACTCTTTTGCAACCCCATAGTCCACCAGGATTTTCTGTCCATGGGATCTCCCAGGCAAGAATACTGGAGTGGGGTGCCATTTCCTACTCCAGGGGATCTTTACAGACCAGAGATCAAACCTGCATCTCCTGTATTGGCAGGCGGATTCTTTACTGCTGAGCCACCAGGGAAGGGACCATGGGCAAGAGAAAAAAATGGAGAACAGAAATATGTGTGCATTTAACAGGAACTGTGATGGGCCAAATGGGATGTCTTCTTTTGTGAATTCAAGGCCAAAAGACAGAGGTATTTGTATTTTTCCAGATGTAAGCCCACCCAACTTAAGTGAGGCTGCTATAACAAACTCCTGTCTTCTCTGGAGGCTGTGAAAGATCGAAGGCCAACAAGTCTAACAGCATAAACTTGGCAGTGTCCAAGAGTCAAAGACTGGACAGGCTTCAAGAATTTTGGGTGGAAGAGAGACCACAGTCTATTGGACTTGATTGTTGTTCAGAATAGGATATTCCTTAAGACTTCCCTGGTGGTCCAGTGGTTAAGACTTCATGCTTCCACTGCAGGTGAAGTGGATTCGACCCCTGGTTGGGGAACTAAGATCCTGCATGCTGTGTGGTGTAGCAAAAAAAAAAAAAAAAAGAATGGGATATTCCTGGGACAATCCTCAGCATTGGGAGAGAAACTTCCTGGAGTTCTCAACTCTGGAAATCCCAGATAGGCAAAATGAGGAAAGCAAACACAAGGGCCAAAGGGATAGAAAGAACTCCCTCCTAGATTTCTATCGACCAGGAAAGGATTTGCCTCAGAGAGTGGAGAGAAGAGCTTGAACCTTCCAGGTTGGTTCCTTGCTCACCAGTCTAAATTCACTAAGTACATATTTTCACAGAGCATGTGAAAATGCAACTCTGCAAAAAGTGAGCTTAGAAGGCGGCTTGTGTTTGACTCAAAAAAACGTGGTCCTAATGGCAGAAACATTCTCTATGTGTGACTGTCATTGCTGTTATTTTAATTTTAAGGCCTGTTGGTGCATAGCAGTCTGTGGGAGTGTGCAAGGAGGGAGAGAAAGAGAGGAGATGGTATCAGTACAGATGCTGCTATCAGCAGAAAGGCCTGTCAGTCCACACGGGCAAGCAAGAGACCTGAGTCAGCATTAAAACCAGGGTCAGGGTGTACAGAGAAGTTCTCAATCCCTCCAGGACCAAATGGGGTGGGGCACGATGGGGCAGGGCCACCTCCGTCTCCCAGCACCTTAGAATGTTAACATGGCCCCTTTTCCAGGCAGGTTGGAAGGCCCCAAAGACTGGGGATGCCTGTGGTTCAAGATTTATGGGGAAAATCTGGGAGAACATTTGTGGAAAACAGATGGGGGCTCTCTGATGAGAGAAATGCAAAGACCTTTATTTCCACTTTTCCAAGAAACGTTGCTTAACTGAGGAGGAAATGGTCTATGATGCCTTACAGATCCAAACCTGCTTTAAGGATTACAAAGTGCTCAGTGGAGGGAGGGTGAGGGGAGGCCACCAGGACCTAAACTACCTCCCGGGGTGTTGAGATTGTCAGTTTCCAGGGCACTCCCCAGTTTGACACCCCCTTGCTGTCTGTCACTGTTTTGCTGTCAGGAAGGGAGCAGAGGGTTGCCATGCTTGGCATCACAACTGACCGGACACTTTGGTAGTGGTTCCAAGCGGTGGAAGCCACAGGGTGTGACCAGATCAGTCCTGGGGGACCTGTGCTCAGTCCTCACATGCACTCCAGTGACGCCTCAACACTCTTTTCTGAGCGTGGACCACTTTTTGGCACCTGGGAAGTTGGGTCACAGAGTTCGGGTTGCTCACTATGCTGAGTTGACTTCTTATTGCCACTTCTTGCTCCTTCTTGATATAATTGGAACAAAAAAATAAGAAGGTGACTCTCTGTTCCTAAGTCACTTGCATGTGTGTTTACATAGTCTCTTTGCATTCAAGAGTGTACTCAACACAGACATTTAGTTCCATGCTTGGAAAATGAGACAAGCTTTCATATTGCAATAAAAGCTAAGTTCTTCTACTTTGGTTTCCAAGAAGTATTTTTGCTCCTTGGAAAAGCAGTAAAAAGAGCAAAATACTCTGGCTTTAGCAATTGGATGCAAGCAGTGCTTTTTTCTGATGTGTCCTTTCCAGAAAGCCAGTGAGAAGCCTCTGTAAAGATGCACTTTCATGAAACTGAGCTTTTCCTGCACCTACAGGACTCTTTATTCTTTCTCCTGGGCCAGAGTGTCCTCTTTCTCGCAGAGCTGGGGCTCAGTGGCTGATTCCTGTCAGGTGACTGAATCTGAGAGTTCCTGCAGACACAGCTAAGATTCCAAGCTCCTGTATCTTTCTGGTGTTTTGGACTGAGCATGACATTTTCTGCTCAGCTAAGGGAAATCAAATAGACCATCTCGATTTTGTAGGGAAGAAAAATGAAAAGCATGGCTTTTGTTTGTTCAAATAACTTTCTTAATACCTCTTCTTCATCTTGGGACATATTCTCATCCGGGGTGTTTAGAAGGAACTGCCCAAAAGACTAACTTTCAAATAAAAAAAAGATGAAAAGAGCATTACAAAAGTGCTGAGTACATATTTATACTCACACTCTACTTGTAATGATAGTAATAATCCAAAATGATGGTAGCCAAGCTCAGCTGACCAAGGGAGATGATGGGAGGAGCTTGCAGTGGGAGGGGTTGGTGGAAAGTGGAGGCTTTGGGGCAGGTGGCTGGCTCTTTAGGCATTCCCTGGGGTCAACAAAAAGTTGTCCTGGGTGGCATTTGTGTATTCATTCAGTAGCTTCTAGGGGAACCAGGGCTCTTTATACATGAGGGAGATGATTAGAATAATGGTTGGGATGAGAATGAACTTGAGAGCAAGTGCTTAGTGGTGATCAGTTGTCTGATCTCTTGTCTGCCAAGCCCACTATGAATTCAGTCCTGGCCCCTGACCATGACCTGACTTCATGGGGGTTTAACTTTACTGGCAGAAATAGCCTGCTTATTGGTATCCCCAGGCTCTGGCCCAGGTCTGTTCTTGCCTAGGCAGAGGGAGAACAGGGAACATGGCTCAAGGTGATCAAAGGGGTCTGAGATGCCCAGGCTAGGGGCTTAGAGGAGTGGGAATGTCTTCCAGCTTCTTCTTTATTTTTATTTTTTAATTAGAGGATAATTACTTTACAATATTATGATGGTTTTTGCCATCCATCAACATGAATGAGCCATAAGTATACATATGCCCTTCCCTCTTGAACATCCCTCCCACCTTCCTCTCCATCCCACCCATCTAGATTGTTACAGAGTACTGGTTTTGGGTTCCCTGCATCATACAACAAATTCCCACTGGCTATCTACTTTACATATGGCAATTCATATTTTCAATGCTATTCTCTCAAATCATCCTACCCTCTCCTTCTCCCACTGTTTCCAAAAGTCTGTTCTTTCTGTCTGTGTCTTCTTTGCTGCCCTGAAAGTAGGATCACCAGTACTATCTTTCTAGAGTCCATATATATGCATTAACATAAAATATTTGTTTTTCTCTTTCTGACTTCACTCTGTATAATAGGCTCTAGGTCCATCCACCTCATCAGAACTGACTCAAATAAAATTCCATCGTGTATATGTACCACATCTTCTTTATCCATTCATCTGTCGATGGACATCTAGGTTGCCTCCATGTCCTAGTTATTGTAAATAGTGCTGCAATGAACAGCCAGATCCTTCTTAAAGAAAGACAATGGCAAGGCACTGCGGAAAGTGTAACCTTTCCTCTAACCTAAAGGAAAAAGACCCCAAGTAAGTGAAACACTAATATAAAATTCTCCTTTTGGTAATTATATTTTGATAATGAGAAGGCTACTAGGACAAGGCAGAAGCATCAGAAATTTCCTTTTCAAGATCTGTGGTCAGGTCAGCATGTTTCTCCATGTTGAGAATCAGAGTATCTTGGTTTCTTGAAAGAATCGGTATTCTGTAGCCTGACAGTATCTTGAGTCTCTGTGGGCTGAGCAGGAGCCTCATCACTTTTAATTAAAAGGACAGATGGAGCACAAGTCCCAGTTCAACTTATTTCATTCTGACTCCAATAATTAATTTTCTTATTCAGACATAGGGACACTGTCTGAAGGGACACTTCACTCTTTTCACATCTTTCCATAGAAACAGTACATAGTGTTATCATGACAATTGATATTTTCACATCTTCAAGCTAATTTCTATTTAAAAATCACTTCAGGATCTGTGAAGCCAAGTCATTGATATGTCTGTGCTGTGGCTGTTTCTGAGCCTCCTTGTCCTTACAGGTGAGTGTGCTCCATTTCCCCAGATGACCTTGGAGATGGGAAAGATAAGCATGGGAATACAGTGGTGTTTCTGATACTTAAAACTGCAGTGGAAAAAAAACAGCAGTTTTCTCCCCCAAGCTGTTCAACAAATCCTGGGGTTGGTAACAGCCATCCAGTCTCTTCCCAGATGCCTCACAAAAGGAGGGAGTTCTCCAGAATGAGGGGTGGGCTTATAGCAGCACTGCTTGAGGCCAGACTTTAAATCTATGCCATTAAAAAAAACAGCAAAACTATACCATTGAACAATGCTCACTGTTCCTCTATAAAAATTCTTTCACCAAAAGTACTTACTGAATTTATTAATAGGCCATATATTTCTACAGAAGGATTAAGGTGATTTACCACTGTAAAACTAATGTAATTCAACAGAAAACTAGCATTTTGGGGATCAAGGAGATGTGACTCAGTTAACCACTGAGGCTGACATTGTTGCCATGCTTGAATTTAAGATTTGGTCCTAAGGTTCCTTGCAACTGGGGCAAAGAGGAAAAGGTCATGTTTTTTGACAAAGAAAAAGAGGAAGCATAGTGTCTTAAGAGAAGCAAATTTTTTTTCCTGGATCTGAAATTTAAAAATTTCTCAAATGGGGTCAGCTTTACTTTCATTCCTTTCTTTCTTGACCCACCAATTCAAGAAGTATTTTTTAAAAATTTTACAAGGAATTTTGGGACCATAAGAAACTAGGGAAGAGGAGATAGATGGTGGAATAGAAAGATGTGAGCTCACCTCTTCTTATGGAAACACCAAAATCACAACTAATTGCTGAACAAGCATCAATAAAAAAATGCTAGAACCTATCAAAAAAGGTACCCTACATCCAAAGACAAAGAAGGAGCCTCAATGAGATGGTGGGGGGGGCACAATCTGATCAAATCAAATCCCATACACGCCAGGTGGATGACCCACAAGCTGGAAAATAATCATGCCACCAAAGTTCTCTCACCTGGAATGAAAATTCTGAGCCCATGTCAGGGTCCCCAGCTTAGGAGTCTGGCAATGGGAGGAAGAACCCCTGATGAATTTGCCTTTGAATGTCAGTGGGGTTTGATTGCAGGAATTCCATAGGACTGGGTTAACTGAAACTCCACTCTTGAGGGTGTACATAAGGTCTCATGCACACCAGGAATCAGGGTAAAATGCAGTGACCTCATCAGAGATGGGGTCAGACTTACTTGCTAGTATTGGATGGTCTCTTGTGGATGTAGGGGGAGTGGCTCACTGTGAAGACAAGGATACTAGAGGCTGCAGTTCTTGGCATGAGCCCTCTTGGAGGCCACCATTTTCTCACCAAGACCTGGCCCCAATCAACAGCTGGTGGGCTGCAATTCTGGGAGGCCTCAGGCCAAACAAACAACAGAGTGGGAACACAGCCCCACCCATCAGCAGACGGGCTGCTTAGAGTTGTCCTGAGCACACAGCTGTCTGACAAACTATACTCCTTGACACATCCCTGTCCACCACCAGAAGGACAAGACCCAATTCCACTCACCAGGGGTCAGGTTCCAGTTCCTCCCACCAGGAAGCCTGCACAAGCCTCTTAGCCTCATCCACCAGGGGGCAGACAGCAAGAACTACATTCCTGCAGCCTACAAATCAGAAACTGCAGTCACAGAAAGTTAGACAAAATTAGACAGCAGAAGTGTATGCTCCAGATGAAGGAACAAGATAAAACCCCAGAAGAACAACTGAAGTGGAGTGAAGTGGAAATAGGCAATCGACCTGAAAAAGGATTCACAGTAATGATAAGAAAGATGACCCAAGACCATGGAAAAACAATGGCAGCACAGATCAAGAAGATACAAGAAATGTTTAATAAAGACCTAGAAGAACAGCATTGAAACACGTATATTATCTAGGGTGAAACGGTTCGCCAGCCCAGGTTGGGTGCATGAGACAGGTGCTCGGGCCTGGTGCACTGGGAAGACCCAGAGGGATTGGGTGGAGAGGGAGGTGGGAGGGGGGACCGGGATGGGGAATACATGTAAAAAAAAAAAAAAAAAAGATACACTATGGTTGTGATAAAAATAAATAAATAAATAAATAAATAAATTTAAAAAAAATAAAAATAAAAATAAAAAAAAAAATAAAAAGAAAGAGGAAGAACTTTTCCCTATATTTGTTAAAAATACATTAAAAAAAAAAAAAAAGACCTAGAAGAAATAAAGAGCAAACAGAGGTGAACAATACAATAACTGAAATGAAAAATACACTAGAAGGAATCAATAGCAGAATAACAGATAAGTGAGCTGGAAGACAGAATAGTGGAAATCACTGCTGCAGAACAGAATAAAGAAAAAAGAATGAAAAGAAATGAGGACTGTCTAAGAGATCTCTGTGAAAACATTTAATGCACCAACATTCACATTATTGGGGTCCTAAAAAGAGAAGAGAGAGCAAGAGAAAGGACCTGAGAAAATATTTAAAGAGATAATAGCTGAAAACTTTCCTAACATGGGAAAGGGAGCAGTAACCCAAGTCCAGAAATAGCAGAGTCTATGGAAGAATATGCTGCTAACATATAGTAATCAAACTGACAAAAATTAAAGACAAAGAAAAAATACTAAAAGCAATAAGGGAATAGTAACAAATAATGTATAAGGGAACTTGCATAAGATTATCAGCTGATTTCACAGCAGAAACTCTGCAGGCTAGAAAGGCATGATATATTTAAAGTAATGAAAGGGAAGAAACTACAACCAAGAACACTCTACCCAGCAAGGCTGTCATTCAGATCAAACAAAGAAATCAAAAGCTTTACAGACAAGAGCTTTTGGCACCATCAGACCAACTTGCCAACAAGTCCTAAAAGAACTTCTCTAGGTGGAGAAGAGAAGGCCACAACTAGGAAAAAAAAAATTACAAATAGAAAAGCTCACCTCTAAAGGCAAACACACAGTAAAGGTAGGAAATCATCTGTACACAAATATGATATCAGAACGAGCAAGTGTGAGAAAAGGAGTGCACAAATGCAGGATATTGGAAATGCATCTGAAATTAGAAAACAGGAACTTAAAACAATCTTGTTTATATACTGCTATATCAAAATCTCATGCAAACCAAAAATCTACAGTAGGTACACACACAAAAAAGAAAAAGGAATCTAAACACAACACTAAAGTTAGCCAAAAAAATCACAGTAGAAGAGAACAAAAGAGGAAGGGAACAAAAAGGAGCTACAAAAACAAATCCAAGACAATTAACAAAATGGTAGCAAGAACATGGTGGTGGTGGTGATTCAGTAGCTAAGTCGTGTCCAGTTCTTGCAACCACATCGACTGCAGCCTGCCAGGCTCTTCTGTCCATGGGATTCTCCAGGCAAGAATACTGGAGTGAGTCACCATTTCCTCCTCCAGGGGATCTTCCTGACCCAGGATTGAACCCACAGACAAGCGTCTCCTGCATTGCAAGTGGATTATTTTATCACTGAGCCACCAGAGAAGCCCTCCATATTGATAGTTACCTTTAACATAAATAGATTAAATGCTCCAACCAAAAGACACAGACTGGGTGAATGAATACAAACACAAGATCCGTACAAATGTTATCTACAACTGACCCATTTCAGATCTAGGAAAACATACAGACTGAAACTAAGAGGATGGAAAAAGGTATTCCATGCAAATGAAAATCAAAAGAAAGCTGGAGTAGCAATATTCACGTCAGACAAAATAGACTTTAAAATAAAGACTGTTACAAGAGAAACAAAAGGAACTTTGGGGAGCATATCATATAATGTGACTAGGAAGAGGCTACAGGGCAAAGAATAATGAGTAACACAACCAACTACTATTAAGGGTATTTGTCACCAATTATAAAGATAAAAGTGCACTGATTAAAAAATAAACAAGAAAATGTTGGCTTATTTAATTTTTAGTACACTCATAAAACATCAGGTCATTTCATTTCCTCATTTCTCTTAGGTTACTCATTGAAAGTTTTTAAAGTAGTATTTATTCTAAAATACCTGTATTTTCAGATGTCAACCCCATGAAGCTCTTAATAAGAAATCGGAACTTTAAAATGCATTTACATAAACCTACAGCGGGTTTCCCAGGTGGTGCTAGTGGTAAAGAACCCTTCAGCCAATGCAGGAGACATAAGAGACACAGGTTCAATCCCTGGGTTGGGAAGATCCCCTGGAGGAAGATCTTCAAGCCACCCCAGTATTCTTGCCTGGAGAATCCCATGGACAGAGGAGCCTGGCAGGCTACAGTCCATGGGGTTGCAAAGAGTCGGACATGACTGAGCGACTTAGCACACAAACCTACAGTACACAGATACACTTCCCAAAATCTGCATATCATGAAGATTTGATGACATAATCCAATTTAGTCAAAGATGAAATAAACAAAAAAGAGTAATCTAATGCGAAGTTCTTACAAGCTGATAGCAGTGAGATGATTCTGTCAAGGGGCAGTCTCCTGCTCTCTGTAGGTAACTTGTTGCTGACTAATGTGCCCTCCTGATGTGAACTATAAATTCTAGGGAATGCTCGCCCCTGCAGTGGCTGGAATGGGAGTTAGAGAGAGAGAGACGGAAGGGCACAGAGAGAAAGGGAAGAGGGCAGAGGAAGCCTGGTGCAGAGACGTGGTCCCAGACCTCACAATGTATCCTCCCCTCTTTGCTGTCTTAGGCTCCCACCTAGAAGTGTGCCCTGGAGCAGGGGAAGCCAACTCTGAGTCCAATTTACCAGCTGTGCCTCCTCTTTGACTCTGGTTGAGCTCTCAAGGAGATCAGGCTTCATACGATGTGTTTCTCCAGAGCAAGCACAAGTATCTCACCAGACTACAGAGTTAGGAGTATGAGGGAGAAGCTCTGAGCGTTCACCTAAGACAGGAGATGAGTACTAGCTTATAGGGAACACAGGATCTCTGCTTTGATTCCAAGACACCTACCCAACAGCACTGTTCAGCTCCAGAGGTTTGCAAGGATTATAACTCCAACTGTTCCTGAAGTCCATGGAAGAAGAGGTGAGACACTAGTTTCTGTAATCACTTAGTCGCCATACTATAAATTTCAGAATGCTTTCCAAGGCTGAGTGATTTCCACTGTCACTGATTTTTGTTTGGTTATTTTTATTAATATCACTTCATAATGGACAGAAATGGGATCAGAACTCCTAGTTCAGTGTCTCAGACTGACCCTTGCTCCATTTGTAGGTTCATCGGAAAGCAGCAGTTGGGGATGCTATGGAGACATCCGGACCCTCCACACCCCTGGGGCATCTTGTGGCATCGGAAGGCGTCAAGGCCTGAGCTACTGCGGTATTCATCATCTTTCTGTGCACCCTGCCTTCTTCTTATTCTTCCTCTTTCTCTCAGAAGGTGACTCCTTTTGGCAAGGATGTCTTCCGTATGACTCTGACGCTTCCCCCAGAGAGGCCTATGCCTCTCTGTCCTTTCCCACAGTTTTGATCCTTTCGGCATATCCTTCAGGTCCCCGCTGCCTCCCACAGCCCCACCTGGTGGAGTGGTGAAGAGGGTACTAGATGTGGGGTCCCCAGAGCTTGTCTGAGTGTCTTGGTTCTGGGGCTTCAGCAAATCACCCAGTTCTCCTGAGTGTCCATTGGAAGTATAGCACCTACTGTAAGGTGGATGAGAGTGCTTGTGAAACCAGTAAAGTGGACTAGCCAGGTAAACTAGTACTGATCTTCATTTTGTCATTTCTCATTACTTCATAAAAGTTTGAGCTCACATGCTTTCTGGGTGTCATTTTAGGGTAGAAAGGTGGGCAGGGGTGAGTGTACCTGTCAGGGAAACTCTCTAAGGACTCCTTGAAGGGTTGGGAGAACTTTTCTCTCGCATTCTGTGTGTGTGGGAGCTGGTTTTCCTGGGTCCCTCTGGGATGCTCAGGGGCCAGTGGTGCGTGTGCTTGTGGAATTTCCCAGGTGGGCAGAGCAGCCCCGGAGAGCCCAGCCGTGCACATCTCCGGGCACGGTGACTCCACTTCAGAGAAAGAGAATTACAACTTCGGGGCTAGGAACGGCCATCAGAGATTTCAGACCAAAACTTGGACTTCTCGGTCCTAGACCACTGCCCGGGTCCCTGGAGTGTATTTTCTCTCCCCTCTTGAGTTCCTGTTTCAGCACAAATCACCTCAACCTGCCTCCTTCCTTCTATGTTTGCGGTAGGAGTGCGTGCTTCTGAAAGGCTGGCTGAGATGGACATGCCGTCCCTCCTGAGATATCGACCTGTCATGCGTGCTGTTGGCCAGAAGTACTGCGTGGACCCTGCTGTCATCGCTGGTGTCTTGTCCAGGCAGCCTCATGGCAGCAGTGTCCTGGCCAGTGTGGGCGCTGTGGGTGATGGAGTCAAGATGGTACAGGTAGCCTGCCATCAGTCACTATATCTCATATGTCACTTCTCACCACCCAAGGGCTTCCTTCACATTTGTTAATTTTTTAAGGAAACATTTATTTATATTTATTTATTTGGCTGTGCTGGGTCTTAGTTGCAGCATGCGGGATCTAATTCCCTGACCAGGGATTGAATCTGGGTTCCTTGCATTAGGAGCATGGAGTTTAAGCCACTGGATCACCAGGGAATTCAACATTCAAAAAGCTCAGCATTCAAAAAACTAATATCATGGCATCTGGTCCCATCACTTCATGGCAAATAGATGGGGAAACAATGGAAACAGTGACAGACTTTATTCCCTTGGGCTGCAAAATCAATGCAGATGGTGACTGTAGCCATGAAATTAAAAGATGCTTGCTCCTTGAAAGAAAAGCTACGACAAACCTAGATGGCATATTAAAAAGCAGAGGTGTCACTATACTGACAAAGGTCTGTATAGTCAAAGCTATGGTTTTTCTAGTAATCATGTATGGATGTGACAGTTGGACCATAAAGAATACAGAGAGCCAAAGAATTGATGCTTTCAAACTCTGGTGCTGGAGGAGACTCTTGAGAGTCCCCTGGATAGCAAGGAGATCAAACCAGTCATTCCTAAAGGAAATTAACCCTGACCTAGATGCCCATCAGCAGATGAATGGATAAGGAAGCTGTGGTACATATACACCATGGAATATTACTCAGCCATTAAAAAGAATTCATTTGAATCAGTTCTAATGAGATGGATGAAACTGGAGCCCATTATACAGAGTGAAGTAAGCCAGAAAGATAAAGAACTTTACAGCATACTAACACATATATATGGGATTTAGAAAGATGGTAATGATAACCCTATATGCAAAACAGAAAAAGAGACACAGATGTACAGAACAGACTTGTGGACTCTGTGGGAGAAGGCGAGGGTGGGATGTTTCAAGAGAACAGCATCGAAACATGTATATTATCTATGGTGAAACAGATCACCAGCCCAGGTTGGATGCATGAGACAAGTGCTCGGGCCTGGAACACTGGGAAGACCCAGAGGGATCGGGTGGAGAGGGAGGTGGGAGGGGGGATCGGAATGGGGAATACATGTAACTCCATGGCTGATTCATGTCAGTGTATGACAAAACCCACTACAGTATTGTAGGGTGGTTAGCCTCCAACTGATAGAAATAAATGAAAAAAAAAAAAAGAAATTAACCTTGAATATTCAATAGGACTCCCCTGTAGCTCAGATGGTAAAGAATCTGCCTGCAATGCAGGAGACCTGGGTTTGATCCCTCGATCAGGAAGATTCCCTGGAGAAGGAAATAGCAACCTGCTCCAGTATTCTTCCCTGGAGAAGTCCATAGACAGAGGAGCCTGGTGGGCTACAGTCCATGGGTCCGCAAAGAGTCAGACACGACTGAGCGACTAACACACACATTCATTGGAACGACTGATGCTGAAGCTGGAGCTCCAATACTTTGGCCACCTAATTCGAAGAGCCAACTCATTGGGAAAGACTGATGCTGGGAAAGACTGAGGAGAGGAGAAGAAGGGGGCGGCAGAGGATGAGATGGTTGGATGGTATCACTGACTCAATGGACATGAGCTTGAGCAAGCTCTGGGACATGGTGAAGGAGAGGAAAGCCTGATGTGCTGCTCCATGGGGTCACAAAGACTTAGCGACTGAACAACAAGATCACCAGGGAAGTCCTCCCCTCTTTTTATTTCCTTCACATGTATTGTTGCTGATTGCTTCCCTGGAGCACAGTTTCATAGAATACAGAGTGAAAGGTGCTCCCTGGAGCTGGAAGAGCCCAGCCCTGCCTGAGAGATGGAACCAGCACTTCTGCCTTGCTTAGAGTCACAATTTCTTCAACCATACCCTATTCTGGATTTCCAATAAGGTGATGATGCAGGAGAGAGATCACAGACTGAGTTCTTGCTCTGTTGCATTGTAACCATGTGACCTTGGATAAATCATTTACTCTCCTTGGTTCTCAGTTTCCTCATCGACAAAATGCAATCTCAGAGAATCATTATGAAGATTCAGTGAAACAGTGTGAAAAAATAGTTGATATTTGGTGGATTCTCAACAAATATTGAATTTGTCTTTCCCTTGTCTTCTGTCTACACAATTCTTAGTTGTGAAGATCGATTTCATTTTCGTGCTAACTCTGAACAGTATCACTCACAACCAGATAGAACCTTTCAGGGAACTGTTGGATTCCACTGTTAAATTAACTCTGTGCTGGGGAAACTGGGATGGCAAAGATGACAATGAGGCTTTTTCCTTTGTATTTCACATTATTGTAGTTGTTGAGAAACCTTTAAGTATTGCAGTCATAATTTATAGTTTTAAGAAAGCATATTCCTCAATGACCTTTAAACAGGCTCCCCAAAGTATGTGACACTTGACAATTTAGAAGTACTTTCAAATACTTTATCTTCTTTTGATCTGGGGACTCACCCGGATGGGGTTGGAGGGAGTCAGGGAAGACAAGTCATCCATCCTTTACAAGTTAGCAAGTGGATTTGCGAGGACAGAGTCATTGCTGCAAAGTCACCTGACACCTGGAAAATGCAGAACTGGGACCAAGGACAACATTAGTGATGTTATCACCAGCACCATTTCTCCTGCCCTGTTCCGCCTTCTTTCTAAAATCTCATTCTTGGGGAAAAGATGAGCCATCTCTTTTGAAGATGAAGAAATAACTCTCCGGAGTCAGACATTTCTCCTACGTATGGTGAGACGCACATGGTGTCTAAGAAAAGTCAGAAATAGCTTCAGACATTCAGATTATCTGGAAGAAGAGTTACCGAGTACAGATAGAAAAGCCCCTTTCTAACCTGTTGTGGGGGTGGGGGTGGGGGTGGGTTGTGTTTGCAGCATGAGAGGAGGCCATCAGACTGGTCCCTACACTGTGTCACCTCTGGTTTCCAGCTGTGTCCATCACCATTACCCTGAAGCCCTTGCCCACACTTGTAGCTTTATTATTTACCCTTGGGGAGATTGAAGGTGGCAATGGTTCTGCCAAAGGAGGAGGAGAGAAAAAGAATGGAAATGAAAAAGTAGCCTTGATCCCAGGAAGCTGCGAGACCCACTGCCTCTCTCCCTGCAGGACCCTGGTCTTTATGCCCCCACATCCTGGATCAGTGAGGCCCAGGTTTCCCGAGTGACTGAAGTCCTGACTGTGAGAATCAAAGAAATCCAGAGGAGGTTCCCAACCTGGACCCCTGACCAGTGCTTGAGAGGTGCGTGTTCCCAATGGGTCGGTTTCCCAGAGTGAAATCAACAGGAATGCTATGTAATATGTTGCATCCAATTCCCCCAAACCTCAGTTGCCTCCTGAAAAGCAGCTCAGAAAGAGAATGTGAGTTGACTGCTGAGCACCCTGCCACAGTGAGGGGCTGTGGGGTCATCATTAACCAACGTCACAAATTCCAGGTGGACTCTGTGCCTACGCGGGAGGTGCTGGCTACATCCGAAGCAGCCAGGACCTGAGCTGTGACTTCTGCAACGATGTCCTTGCACGAGCCAAGTACTTCAAGAGACAAGGCTTCTAAAACTTCAGCTCAAACCCAAGATGCCTATCATGCAGCCGGCCTCAGCCATTACACAAATAAAAGTAGCCAATGAGGCCAATAACTGTGAATCTGAGTTGGCCTGAATGTCATCAAAATAACGTGAATCACATTAAAGAATTATTACCTGCATTTTGTGGTCTGATGTGTGTGTGAATGAGGGCTGTGTCTCTTTAAAGGTATTTCTATTGGGCTTCCCAGGTGCCTCATTGGGAAAGAATCTACCTGTCAAGAATCTCCTGCCAAGACACAGGAGACATGGGTTCAGTCCTTGGGTTGGGAAGATCCCCTGAAGAAGGAAATGGCAATCCACTCTAGTATTCTTGCCTGGGAATTCTCATGGATGAAGAGCCTGGCAGGCTACGGTCCATGGGGTTGCAAAGAGTCGCAGATAACTGAGCATATATGTGTGCACATACATGCGTATATGCGTGAGTTGTCATGTGGATTTCCATGAAATGCTTCCTGTACCTCACTGGCTTGCATTGCTGGATTAGGAAATAAAAATACTAGATTCCAGTTAAATCTGAATTCCAGATAAATGATTTTTTTTAGTCCAAGTCCCATGCAATATTTGGGACACAACCTAGACAGTGTACTAAAAAGCAAAGACATCACTTTGTCCAGAAAGGTCCATATAGTCAAGGCTATGGTCTTTCCAGTAGTCATGTATGGATGTGAGAATTGGACCATAAAGAAGGCAGACAGCCAATCACCAAAGAATTGATGCTTTCAAGCTGTGGTACTAGAGAAAAATCTTGAGAGTCCTTTGGACAGCAAGGAGATCCAAGAAGTCCATCCTAAAGGAAATCAGTCCTGAGTGTTCACTGAAAGGACTGATGCTGAAGCTGAAACTCCAGTACTTTGGTCACCTGATGCGAAGAACTGATTCATTAGAAAAGACCCTGATGCTGGGAAAGATTGAAGGCAAAAGGAGAAGAGGGCAACAGAGGATGAGATGGTTGAATGGCATCATTGATTCAACGGACATGAACTTGGGCAAACTCCAGGAGATGGTGAGGGACAGGAAGGCCTGGGATGCTGCAGTCCATGAGGTCACAAAGAGTTGGACAGGAGTTGGTGACTGAACAGCAGTCTTCTATCTGAAATTCAAACATAACTGGACATTTGGTTATTGTGTCTGGCAACCCTATCACTGATTTCTTTTTAAAAATTCATGGTTTCAAATTCTTATTGAAAACTTTTAATGAGAAAAAGGGTAAGAGGGTGGCCAGACCCATCTGCTGGGGGGTATAGTTTTGAAACAGTAGGGAAGGTGGCAAGGCACAACCTTTAAAAAAAAAATAACATAGTCATTGAGGATGTAACAAAAACTAGTTAGAACCAGCTAGGTCCAAGAGTGTGAACATGTTACTTCTGGTACACCCTGATACTGGGAAAGATTGAAGGCAAAAGGAGAAGGGAGCAGCAGAGGATGAGATGGTTAGATAGCATCACTAACTAATGGACACGAATTTCAGCAAACTCTGGGAGGTAGTGCAGGACAGAGGAACCTGGCATGCCGCAGTTCATGGGGGCACAAAGGGTCACATATGACTTAGTGACTGAACAACAAAGACCCTGAGTCTCAGCATACACCCATTCAAATATATTAGCTAAATGACACACCCCCAGGTACCATGACAGTTCGGAGGTCCACCGTAAAAGGCCAAAAAGTGGGCAGTGGCCCAATTCCTAGAAATCTTTGCCTCTTCTCCAAAATAGTTGTTATAGTCTTCTCATTCATTACCCTGTGAAATTACACAGCCCATAAAAGCTGACCACCCCCTATTTCAGGGCCTCTCACTTTCTGAGATGGCCCACAGTCTGTCTGTGGGGTGTTTCTCCCCAGGCTGCTCTCCCTTCCTGAGACAACCCCATGCACTGGGGTGCTTCTCACTTTTTGATACAGTTTGCATTCTGTTTATGGAATATGTATCTCTCTAAATTAATCTACTTCTTAGCTACCACCTCATCTCTCAATGAATTCTTTCTGTGATGAGACATAAAGAGACTGATCTTCATTAAGTCCTGAGACCAGGTGTGTGATCTCAATTATTGGGTAGGCCAAAAAGTTTGTTGGGCTTTTTCCTTTACATTTTGTGGGAAAACCCAAATGAACTTTTTTGGGCAACTCAATAAAAACTGGGTTCAAGGCCCAATCTCTGATGTGCAGTTTCAATTTCACTTTTAAACTTTGCAGCATTATCTTAACCCCAGGTCTTTCTGACATGTAAGTTCACCTCTTCCTCTCCTCCCCTGGACCACAGAGTCTTCTACATCCAGTTTCCCCCAACTCAGTTGAGCTCTCCCTTTGTTTGGGGCAGCAGACAGTGATTCCTCAGACTTCTCCCACGGCTCAGCAGTAAAGAATCCGCCTGCAAGGTAGGAGCCGCAGGAGATGCGGGTTCAATCCTTGGTCGGGAAGATTCCCTGGAGGAGGACACGGCAACCCAATCTAGTATTCTTGCTTGGAGAATGCCATGGACAGAGTAGCCTGGCGGGCTACAGTCCATGGGGTCGTGGAGAGGCAGACACGACTGAAGCAATGTAGCACACACATATAGTGAATCCTCAGTTGGAACTGCCCTCAAGGACTCTGACAACACACTCGCTGCTAAATTAAGTCTCGTGCTTGCACTCTCTACAACTACCTATCAACACTTTACAGAGGGTCTTTCTAGAACAACTGCCATCATTTCAAGCAAAAATATATATTTTTTAAACAACAGCTTTGTCTTAGCATGTATGAAGCACTGTATCAGAGGTTCCGCCCTCAGGAACTGTTCAATCACACAACTGAGTTGAGAGTAGCAGCCAGCCACACGTGCACACAAGGTACAGATGCAGGGCAGACACGGGGTGATTGTGTCAGTGCTTACCTTCTGTGCTGAGCGGAACGCAGAAGCTACTCGTGGCCATCGGTGTCCTTGAACTCCTCCAGGGCTACCGCCTTCTTGTCTCCTAGCCCTCTGCCTTTCAAGACCAGTCTGAAGCCTGAATCCGGTGAAGGGGTTCTCACTCGGGACAAGAAGACTGAGAAGCCCTCAGGAACACAGCTTTGAAGATTTCCATTTCCTTGGCACTAGGGAGGTAAACTGGGAGGCACTGGTTGCAAGCCCAGATGGGAATCAGTTGGGTGAATCAAGTCCTGAAATCACACCAGGGTAGCTCTTGTAGGCAGATTGTGTAGGGTGTCCCCAGAAAAAAAGAACCAAGCTCTGAAACAGGAGGGAAGGGGGCAGAACACAATCTTTCAAAGAATGAAAGAGCCATTGAGGATGTAACATAATCTGGTTAGAACCAACGAGGTCCAAGGTGGCAGAAAAATCAACTTCCAGTAGACTTTGAACCTCACTATGTGCTCACTGAAATACATCAGCAGAACGACACACTCACAGGTGACATGACAGTTCTGAGCTGACAAAAAGGAACAAAAAGTGGGCAGTGGCCCAATTTCTGGAAATCTCTACCTCTTCTCCAAAACAGTTGGAATAATCCTCTTAATTGTTAGCCTATGAAATTACCCAACCTGTAAAAACTAACCACTCCACATTTCAGGGCCTCTCGTCTTCTGAGATGGCCTACACTCTGTCTGTAGGGTGTATTTCTCCCAGGGCCACTCTTATTTTCTGAGACAACCCTATTCCCTGGGGCTGCTTATGGCCATACAGATGGACCTAAGAAGAGGTGGCAAGGATATACAGAACTATACAAAAAAGATCTTCATGACCCAGTTAACCCTGATGTTGTGATCACTCACCTAGGGCAAGACATCCTGGAACGCAAAGTCAAGTGGGTCTTAGGAAGCATGACTACGAACAAAGCTAGTGGAGGTGATGGAATTCCAGTTGAGCTATTTCAAATCCTAAAAGATAATGTTATGAAAATGCTGCACTCAATATGCCTGCAAATTTGGAAAACTCAGCAGTGGCTGCAGGACTGGAAAATGTCAGTTTTCATTCCAATCCCAAAAAAGGCAATGCCGAAAAATGTTCAAACTACTGCAAAATTGCACTCATCTCACACGCAAGCAAAGTAATGCTCAAAATTCTCCAAGCCAGGCTTCAACAGTATGTGAACTATGAACTTCCTGATGTTCAAGCTGGATTTAGAAAAGGCAGAGGAACCAGAGATCAAATTGCCAACATCCACTGGATCATCAAAAAAGCAAGAGAGCTCCATAAAAAACCTACTTCTGCTTTATTGACTATGCCAAAGCCTTTTACTGTGTGGATCACAACAAACTGTGGGAAATTCTGAAAGAGATGGAGATACCAGACCACCTTACCTGCCTCTTGAGAAATCTGTACGCAGGTCAGGAAGCAAGTTAGAATTGGACATGGAACAATAGACTGGTTCCAAATAGGAAAAGGAGTATGTCAAGGCTGTATATTATCACCCTGCTTATTTAACTTATATGCAGAGTACATCATGAGAAATGCTGGGCTGGAGGAGGAACAAGCTGGAATCAAGATTGCTGGGAGAAATATCAATAACCTCAGATATGCAGATGACACCACCCTTATGGCAGAAAGCAAAGAAGAACTAAAGAGCCTCTTGATGAAAGTGAAAGAAGAGAGTGAAAAAGTTGGCTTAAACCTCAATATTCAGAAAACTAAGATCATGGCATCTGGTCCCATAACTTCATGACAAATAGATGGGGAAACAGTGAAAACAGTGACAGACTTAATTTTCTTGGGCTCCAAAATCACTGCAGATGGTGACTGCGGCCGTGAAATTAAAAGACTCTTGCTCCTTGGAAGAAAAGCTATGACCAACCTAGACAGCATATTAAAAAGCAGAGACATTACTTTGCCAACAAAGGTCCGTCTAGTCAAGGCTATGGTTTTCCCAGTAGTCATGTATGGATGTGAGAGTTGGACTATAGGGCTGAGCACTGAAGAATTGATGCTTTTGAACTGTGGTGTTGGAGAAGACTCTTGAGAGTCTCTTGGACTGCAAGAAGATCCAACCAGTCC